TATATATATATATATATATATATATATATATATATATATATATATATATATATATATATATATATATATATATATATATATCTATCTATATATATATATATTATTGTCTGTGTATATATATTTGTGTTTTCATGGACGTATATTTCCATATATATAGTTGTGTAACTTCGCAAGTATGCGTGAAAGAACCTGTAATTTAAACTATACCAAATAGGACGTAATAACATCAAAAAATACAAACGCACACGTTGGACACTCTTTTTGACACTATTCTAATCGGGTGATACCCGAAAAACGCTTTTTCACAGTACAAGCCAGTTCGATATTTTGTCTCCTGAGCGCATCCTGGTCAAAGGAGACGTAATCAACACTTGTCACATATCCTGCTAGAAGGGACATTGTGAACTTCATAATTCACAGGCATACAAATAATTGTTCACACCTATCAATAGTATTGTCCTTGAGCTCTGTTACCAATTTCAGAGCTATCGTACCAGTAGTATAGCGTCAGTTGCAATTCAACCTGTTTTCGCTCGATGCATGTGACCACCTTTTTCAATTAAGGTGACAAATTGTTACCAATTCGAGAATTGATTGATTTCTGGAACAAAAAAAGGTGGCAAAAAAATTACAATCCAGTTTTATACTTGTGGTGTTGAAATACTGAAAAGCAATCACATATATTATATACACGAGTCAAACACATTGATCGTTAGTTTATTTGACTTATATACAGTGACAATATAAGCCCACATGATGAAATATGTCACCCCGGTGCACAGTATTCAAGTGCAGCTTAATCTGTACATCTTCCTGCTTCACTGTTAAATGATCTCTGTCGAGTTCTATGACTCAGAATAATTAACATTATAAAAATGCGTGTTTAGATGTCATATAACTCATGATTTATTTGATATATATACTATAGACCTTTTACTTTTTTAGTGTACATAAACCAAGTATAAGCTTCATATATATATGTTCACACTTAGTAGATTACTATGCTACGTTGTGCATATGTATTGTGCATACACAAGGACTGTTTATCAATGTGTTTGTAACTTTTAGTATTAACTATCGTCACTCATACTAAATAGCAAGCTATGTCAATACATAATATTAATATGCTCTTAAAAGTATGTGGAAATATAGGAGAAATAAATAAATACGAGGAAATTATATAAGAGAAATAATATATATGTAATATATATCTTTTTAGAAAAATAGTAAATATGAAAAATGAACGAAATATATTTTTAGGAAAATATTAAATATGAAATAAATATGCCATATATTATTCATAAATATGGCATATTTTATATATATAAAAATATTCCTAATTTTAAATATGTACATATATTTGTATTTCCTAAAATAAGAAATACGTGTATAAAACGTTGAAAATAAAAATATACATTTTTACGTTTATTTGTATGTGTTCCTCGGTCAGGAACTGATACTCTCTAATTGATTTATTTATTTTTTATTTATTTTTTTATTAAAATAAATGCAATAAGGGTAAAAATATAAAAACTCACCAAGGCAGGCATAAAGGCAGGCGAGAGTCAAGGCAGGCGAGAAGGCAGGCGAGAGTCAAGGCAGGCGAATAAGGCAGGTTAAAGTAAGGCAGGCTTAAGACTTCGCATGTATTTGTGAACCTCTCTCTTGGTTTCCTAATAATTTTTGTTTTTTTTTAATAGAAGAATACTTTGAAAGTGTGCACAAAAGTTCTCGCAGTGCCATTTTATTAATAAAAACAACGTAGAAAATATTGATAAATAAAACCATGCTGTAATATGATAGTTTTAAAAAAATAAAACCATGACGCGAGTTTAAAAAATATTATTGCTGATAAGTATGTGTTTTATGCGGCTTTATGCCAGCCATACATTTGAAGTTGGGAGATTGTCGCAGATACCGACAAGTCTGACATACGCATACAAAAAGCAAAACAAATAAATAAAATCCTTGTAACTGACGACCCTATTTCAATTTTAATACTATATCTATGACTGAAAAGGAAAGCATGTCATATACACAACACACGGTCAAGGAAAGCTACACGAAATTACAACATTACAACTTTTAGACCCCAACTAAGGTTGTATCGTCGAATCGTGTCATTATTTGTATAAATTGACAGTAATTGATTATGATGGTGAGTTTATATAGTTTGGGAATCATGCAGTGCCTACTGATATCATCTCTTATTTATCCAAAAGAGATATTAGCTACCCTATTACGGTATAAGTGTGCACGATGGACTCTACAAGCAAAATTTACACTCCAGCGGTTGACGAGAATCGCAATCCGGACGCGGCAGGTGGGAGTCGCAGTGATAATGCGGCAGGTGAGAGTCGCAGTGATAATGTAGCAGGTGGGAGTCGCAGTTAGGTAGCAGGTGGGAGTCGCAGTTATGCGGTAATTTGGAGTCGCCGTTATGCGGCAGGCGGGAAAGGCAAGGACAAGGTCGAGGTGCTCCAGCCCCAACATAAGAAGCACAAGCCCCAGCCTAAGCAGTCCACGCCCACGAGACAATTCTACCATAAGTATGCGTCTGGACCTACCACAAGTAAGTGTTGCGTATTATTTTTGCGTCCTATATTTGCGATTATTGCATGCGTCTTATTTATGCGACTATTGCATGCGTCCTATACATGTCTTATTTATGCGTCTTATACATGTTTCTTATACATGCGTCCTATTTTTTGCGACTATTGCATGCGTCTTATATTTGCGACTATTGCATGCGTCTTATATTTGTGACTATTGCATGCATCTTATTTTTTGTGACTATTGTATGCGTCTTATTTTTGTGACTATTGCACGCGTCTTATATTTGCGACTATTACATGCGTCTTATATTTGTGACTATTGCATGTGTCTTATATACGCGTCTTATATATGCCTTATTTTATTTGCGACTGTTGCATGCGTCTTATATGTGCAACTACTGCATGCGTCTTATTTATGCGTAGCGACTATTAATCTTTCCTGAACCACTACAGCGACTATGAGAGCCATACCATATGTTCATACATTGTATTATACATACTTGCCATTTTTGAAATAAATAATATTATCCCTATGAGAGCCATACCATATGTTCATACATTGTATCATACATACTTGCCATTTTTGAAATAAATAATATTATCCCTATTGCATGCGTCTTATTTATGTGACTGTTGCATGCGTATTATTTTTCCGACTATTGCATGCGTCTTATTTATGTGACTGTTGCATGTGTCCTATTTTTGTGACTATTGCATGCGTCTTATTTTTGCGACTATTGCATGCGTCTTATTTTTGTGACTATTGCATGCGTCATACTTATGCGACTATTGCTTGCGTTTTACTTATTTGTGGCATACATTCGTGTAGATAGGAAGTCAAAAGGGAACCCATCATAGACTTGACTGGGCCACCATTAGAGCATCCAAAGTCAGACGAAGAATTGCAGCATAAGGGCAGTGAACAGACCATAGTGAAAAAGGAGTGACTGGCGCAGCTACCTTTTCTATAAAAAAAATTAAAAGGTGGGCAGGAGAAAGATGAGGCAAATTTGTTGTCGAACATAGACCCGGATTTGGTAAAATAGATACAGAATATGAGGAAGTCATCGCAGATCACGGCTGGGAAGAGGACATCTCCGACGAACTAGTCTATAAGAAGGAACGCTCGATAGATTGGGTTGGTGATATATCTTATTGTGGTAGTGACAGTTACAGTTCGTTTTTAGATTTGGATGATTTGGATTTGGAATTTGATGAAAGTGCACACGTCGATGATCGTGGGTCTGGAGAGAAGAAGAGCATACAGCCCCCAGGCCGATAGTCGCTGTGGGGAGGATTCCGGTGACACAGACCCAGATATTGCCCGTCGCAGACTATGGCCAAAATTGGTACCGGACATCACCGCTTGGAACTCTGGTATAACGCGTGAATCCAAATTTAGACCAGATAACAGTGACAAAAAATGGGATATTATTGGGAGATGGTGTTTCACCAGCACAGGAAAATTGAAACCTACCCCATGGCTCTACAGTTGGCTCAAGATCTTGCACAAAAATATGGGATTCTGGTCACCAGTCAAAATATTTCGAAACAGGGCAAAGCAGGTAAATTGGTGAAGTTGATTATCATATCACATGCTTCTTGTCAATGTATATAGCTGTCACATACACGTACACATTAGTAACCATGCCCACAGCTGTCACATACACGTACAAAGTAGTAACAACACGCCCACAGCTGCCACATACACGTACAAATCAGTAACAACACGCGTACAGCTGTCACATGCACGTAAAAAATAGTAACAACACGCCCACAGCTGTCACATACACGTACAAAGTAGTAACAACACGCCCACAGCTGCCACATACACCTACAGATCAGTAACAACACGCGTACAGCTGTCATATGCACGTAAAAAAAAATAAGTACTAATACGCCC